ATATTAAGTATATGGGACTATTATACGTTTAGAATAAAAACTACTATTAGTAGTATTCATATTTATAAAGATATACTTACTAATGGGTCTAATGTCTTTCGGGGAAACCCGATATCGGGTGTCGATCGCCACACACTCCTAATTGTGGCACTCTCAAGAAATGGCATGTGAGTAAAACCACAAAAAAACAATATAATTTACAAAATTACAATAGCAATTTTAAAAATGGTATGAAAATCCTATTGTAAAATTGAGAACTTTCAAACTTTGCCGTGTTGATATTACAGAGATAGTAGTAGGCGTGTTGTATAATAAATGTCTGTATCTAATCTTCAATTGTGTTAAATTTATTTAAATACCAAATGGTCTAAAGTGATTTAAAGAAATGGTATCATTTTTCAAGTTGGCTTCTCTCACGGTTTTAATTTATTTTATTGCATTGTTTTAATTCTGTGTGTGTTTTAACGGATGTTTTACGGCCACGCCTTGTTCTCATATAAATTTAGTCTATGCTTTTGTTTTTATCTCATGGATGTCTATGGTATAATTATTCATATTTTCACAACTTGTTACACTTATCCGCTCGTTTTCTTTTTTAACTATATCATCTAGATTATAAAGTAATGGCCCTAGTTAAAGTTAAACAATGACTTTATCCTAGTTTCGAAAACATGATACCATGTCATATTATACATAAATAAGACTTATTGTTCCTTTATAACAATAAATAAGTACATTAGTGAATGCTATTTTAAGGTCTATTTTTAACCCCCGACGCAAAAGCGACGGGGTGTTATTGTGTGAGTATGTCTGTCTCTGGCAACCGATTTTGATTTTGTTTTTTTGTTTGAAAGTTGAATTAGTCGGGAGTGTTCTTAGCTATGTTTGATGAAAATCGGTCCAAGATAGCCGGCGCCACAAAATGGCGGATTACATATTTTTTCACAACTCCCTCAATATGGGTATCAAATGAAAGAGCTTAACTATTAGAATAATATACACTATGACAAATTTCAAATCTAAGATGTGTGTCGAATGTTTTTTAATATTTTTATTTAATTTTTAATAAAGAATTTGTTGAACACTAAGAGGACGATCAATATAGTAGAACTCGCTTACACCACCTTTAAACGATGTTATTATACACTGCGGGTCACCTGCAATAGACGTCATTTGTGACGGGATGGTTTTAGTCGGTTCGCACTTTACTATCAACTCTGGTGAGCTGATGACCCATAGAAACACACGAAAAAAAGAAATAACGTAAAAACCGTCGTTCTTAAAAAAGACTAAAGAGTTTTATTTAAATATAAATATATTTACGTAAAAAAGAATGCGTATTATGAGTCAATATTATAAATTTCTCTTAGTCTAAGATAAGATGGCATTACGAAAGTTAGAAAACATCCTGTAACTACGATTTCTTTCCTCTCTTTCACGGCCAATGCTTAATTAATGTTTATATTTTCCTCATTCGTGGATTAAATTTCTTATTTTTTGAACAAAATTGTAGTAAATTAACAATTTGAGCCACTTACTTTTATTGTAATGATGACGGAAGTTATTTATATCTGCTAGATAATAAGCGCCCACTAGTTTCCGTTGTACGTAGATTATCTCATAGTATCATTTTTTATAACATTTATCAAATCTCAACATGTAATAGGTCGTTTAGCTGTTCAATGTTTAAGCATGCGTGCACGCTTAATGAGTGTCAGTCAGCACGCTTTAAATTCCGACAGCTAAGCAGCTCTTATATGAAACCTCTAGAAGTTTAAGTGTTTTATTTACATTTTGAAATTTATGTTTTCGCTGTGTCAAAATACTACACAACAGTTCTAATAATCTTGACCGCAAGTTGTCACAGTGAAGTGAAGTTCTAACAGCTCGGAGGTCATTTGTTGCGCTTTTGAGTTTTGAAACAATTTGGTGTTCTTTTCTATCAGTGTGAATGTAGTTTATAGTTAACCAATAACTCCTGCTTTTTCTATAAAACTGATACTACAGGATCAAAACAGCCTAAGTTACCAAATTATTTATGGAGTCGTAACCCGCAAAGCGATGCATGAGGCATGTTGACACTTTGGGCTGAGACAGAAAGTAAATATTGAACAAATAATTCACTCAACATTTTCCTAACATAATATTGCAATATTCTGCTAAGAAAATATAAAAAAGAAACAGTTTTATCTTCACAAAAAAAACTGATACAAAATTTTGCTCCACGTTCAGTGGAATAGATATTTCACTCACCTGTCAAGTCAACATTTCGGATTTACGCACTGTTACAATTTCACACGTTATACCCTTTTTATAAATACGCTTTTATTAGCTACACTTGTAAATAACTAACCAACTAATTATGTAAAAAAATATCAACCTATGTAAAAAATAAATCTGAGCTGACAAATATTTTAGGCTTAAATGATTATATATACTATACATTAAATTCTTCCAACGACGGCTTGATCTCGAAACTAGGAAGGTATACGGTTACTTTTTATTTTGCTTCGCCATTAAAGCGATTTTTTTAGTTTAAGTGAACTATAATTACAGCACTGTGATTGCAAGTAAAGTTCACCAATACGTCGCGTTTCCAACCAAATTGATAGGGCACTGCCGAACTTCTTAATCGTCTCTTTTTTTCTCACGGAAGCCCGTTTCTGCGTTTCTGACTAACAAATCAATTTGTCTTATCCTTTATCTTCTCGCGTAGGTATTTTCTTGTTGTAATTAGGGATCGCCAGACCGTTTAGCTTTGTAAGATTATGTTCTATTTATACATTGCTAAATATCGCTCGGATCCATTTCTTGTTAATATTTATAACGGATTGTAATGGTTAACCTAAATAACAATAAAATATACTTAAAGTAGCGAGGAAAAGCAGTATTTTTTAAAAGTTCATAACGGCTCCTATGAATAGACTTCGTAACAATACTTCAAAGCAATAAAGTGACCCTTGTACGAAATCTGAATATAATATAAGGTCTCATCAAGATTAAGATTAACATACCGTTAGTAGAAAAATGCTTTATAGAAGCTAATTATTGTATTGTATTTTTAATTAAGATGTTAAAGAAATATCTCAAGATCATGCTCAATTTAATAAATTCTTTTGTGTGAGAGAAAATAATCTTTAGATATTGAATCGGTTCCTTAACAACGAATTGCGATTGAGGAAAACCATTAATAAAACGGCATGTGATAACAATAATAAATTCTTTGTATTGTATGTGCTTAGTTTTGTCAATAATATATCAAATTTTTACATGACAACTGATGTCTTGAACATTGCATTTAATTCTACGTCGCCAGTCAATTTTTGAAAATGAACATGTTAAATATTGCGAAATAACTTATCAGTGAAATGACCTTGATACTTTGAAGCAATATACAGCTCTCACTATATCGAAAGTCCCTTAATTAAACATTTCTTAAGAATTTCGAAGGAAGTGGCCGTCTGTTTTATATCCGCTACAAGTTTGTGTCAAATGAGGATTGCAAAATTGTTATGTGCTCATTTCATTTACAATGTTTGCGTATTTTAGGAATATGAAGTCTTGAGATTTACACTTTCAGGTAAGTAATTAATTTGTCGGCAACTCATACCTTAAAATCTTTTTCACCCGGCTTGTATGCAGTCAGGTTATTTAGTTTTTAATGAGAAAACTTTCACTATTCACCCGTAGGTGTCGTAAGAGCCGACTAAGGGAGAAAACTACGCAGAACAACAGCACTGCAGAGTGAAGGAAAACTTAACACAAACCCAATACCAACCCGTCTGGCCAGCGTGGTATAGTAGGCCAAAACCTCCTTCCTACGGAGAGGCCTATGTCCAGCAGTGGACTATTATAGGCTGTTGATGATGATGATGAGAAAACTTTTAAGAGTTTACTTCCATATTAACCTATTTTCAAAATGAAAGTATATTGCACGTGCAGAAATAATTTAGAATTCACTTAATCCTATGATCATGATCCTCATTCGAGATCGACGTCGTAATAGCCATTTATTGACGTAAATAATTTTCTAGTTTTTAAAGATATAATGTTCCACGATTATTTTCGGCCCTTATAAGCACTCTTTACCAACAAGCGAGACTCCTATCCCGTGTGTATTAGGCGCTTTACAGGAAACAAATGGAAACAACGATGAAGCGCCTACGATTCCTTTACATTCAGTGTTGCGGGATTGCTTTTCATAGGCACGAAGATACATAATATATATTCCTGACTAAAACTGTTCTTCTTTATAGCGTACATTTCTAAGCCTCCCAAGTCTCCGGGTAAGGGTTAATCCCCAGCCAACTGTCTCAGTTGAAGTTGACACCATCGTATGACTAATCTTGATTGCCTTTCGTATTTTTCGCGGCACGAAATATTTTCTTCTTTCTACAAGAATTTTTAGCAACGGCCCATTTGTTGTGCTTTTCCAAGTTCATTTAAACGAAACGAGAGAAATATTATTGAAATAAAGAACAAATACTTGAAAAGATGGACCTATAAACTGCGTCTCTTTCTTCGTAACGTACAGGTGACAAAACGTGTTTACGTTTTACTTAGTTACGTTAAAACTAAATTTTATTTACACAACCTAATATTAGAAATGAGTTACTACCATTAGAATGCACATCCTATTTTGTATATTCAGATTTGTTATGTTGTATATATGCATGTATATTTAAATATGTTATTGTGGTATGTAGTTAGTAGAACTAATTTTACTGTAGTGTAGATATTTTCCTTATAGAATTATTTTCCTTATATAACAGCATGTTTAGTTTACTAATTGCATAAATCATTACATTTAATTGAAACTGCCTTCCCTATTAGTTGGTTGCTCATACGCAATTTGTACGCTTTCTTGTAAATAAATTCTTTGTTTCTTTTTAATTTTAGGGGCAGTTACGCAGTAGAAGAGAATAAATTCGTGAACAAAAAAGTGCCTTCGTTGAATTGACTTGTGAGATTAGTACATTTAGCACTGTGAGTGATAACGAATGAAGTCCAAGGTGGGGAAATTGTTGCCCACGGGCGGGCATAAGGAGACTTACACATTGCTTTCAGCGAGACGAAGATACATGAAGAAGTTAATGTACGTATATTGATTTAGTTACTTTAACACAAGGGTTTAACAGTTTCTACACTTCTTACCATTCAGCAATACATTTTATATTTTAAACAATAAATTAAAAGTGAAACCTGGAATACAACATCTCTAGGTGAACTTTGCGTTCTTAATCCTTATCATAAACTCACAATATAACGACCACGTTCTAGCAGCTAAATATATTTAATAAAGGCTAGCCTAATGCGGTTTACGTGTCACGTTTAATCCCGTACTGAAAATAACATAAAAGAAATATTCAATAAAAGTTTAAAAGTTACACCTGCAATCGAAAACAAGATCTTACAAATCAATGTTATTGATTCTTTGGCATATACGGAACCAGAATCCTAAAAAGAACTGTCCTAAAATTCTCCACTATCGATTGGATGTAAGCGCAATAAGCTCATTAAATATTTGAATATCTTTAATGGCACGTAAATATTTTCAATACTTTAAGATCAAAGCTTTTCATGTAAATAAATATTATAATGTACACTAAAATTTCTATTTCACTATTGGTAAAGGCATTTCATTAACCTTAGATGTATCTACTTACTTTTACATTATGTGTATTTAGTTTCATGTTGTTTGGTTTACAGCTTATTAGCTGTACTATAGATAAGTAATGTGGAATGTTGCAAAGGTTCAGTAGAGGGATGGAAGTTGGAACCTTCTCAAATTAGTTCTAAAAAGTAGTTCAGTAACAACGTTGGTCCCGTTGTACTTAAAGCGAAAGAAATTATGGGACCAACGCTGCTGCTTAGCTTCTTTACAAGAGAAGTATAATCCTACAAATATTCGTCTATTCCTATCATTACACATCAATACACATTAATTTAAACTACAAAAGTAAACATGACACGACATGAATATATGTATATATTTAAGAGAATATTATGTAGAATACCTCAAATTAAACCACCGGTAGAAAGCACCAGGAAACAATCTAACCGTTACCAAAGTGTGCGTTGCTAGAACGATGTAGTTGAGAACGTTTTAATGAAATAAAGTATTTATGTCAGCGTCACATCTCGAGTAAAATAAGCGCACCATTTATAACATAAACATTAGTTCAGCTGTTATGAAATATGGCGGACAATAAATTTCCGATCACTGTGAACCAGGTAACAATGACAATGCTGTAGAACAACTACTGCTAGCTCCCGTTATATTACGATACTCCATCATGATGGATGGAGTTCGCTTTTCTGAGCTGACAATGTATTTTATCTTACGTAATAGCGGCTTCTAAAGATCGCCTACCACTAGTTGAAACAGGGTAACACGAATCACGAGCTTTATATCGTTTAGTGTTAATAGATGAAATAAAACATCAACAAATATATAGTCGCTAAATTAAGAATGATTACAACCAAGTGGTGTTATTTTCCACATCTATCATACATAGTAGTAGTTTCATATTCATATTTCATAATATATATACATATATCATTATCAGCTTGTCGAAGACCACTGCTGAACGAAGGCCTCCTACCAACAAATTTAAAATGTTTCGTTTACCAAACTATTACAAAGACATCGAAGACATTTGTATGAGTGGCAGTTCAGAGACGAGTCATTAGGAGGCCATTGGTCTTACATAGTTAGTAGAATACGAAAAGCAAAACTATAACGACGACATTCCATGGACCACGCTGTAGATAATTTAAAACCATCTTCCCGATTGAAAGTTTTATGCTTTTTAATCTCAATCGCTTCACGTACAACTCTTGAGTAAAAGTGACGTTCGGTGGAGAGGACTTGCGTGCGGTGAAATTCAATCCAGTGGTTGATGCCTGCATCGAGTGCATGTTCTGCAATCGCTGATTTGCTCGTCTGTCGGTTCTTCACAGCAGCGATATGCTCTTTGACCCTTTCTGCAATAGTCCGCTTAGTTTGGCCTATGTATGAGCTTCCGCAGCTGCAGTCTATTTTATAAACACCCGGAGTTTGTAGTGGCAATGTATCCTTCGGTGTGCCGACGATGTTGTGAACCTTTATGCCTGGTGTGTATACTGTCGGAATGGAATATTTCTTTAGTACAGAACCCGATCTTGTCCGTAACTCCCTTGACATAAGGCATATAGGCCGGTTGCCTGTTCACTTCTGGATATCCAGGCATAAAGGTTCACAACATCGTCGGCACACCGAAGGATACATTGCCACTACAAACTCCGGGTGTTTTATAAATAGACTGCAGCTGCGGAAGCTCATACATAGGCCAAACTAAGCGGACTATTGCAGAAAGGGTCAAAGAGCATATCGCTGCTGTGAAGAACCGACAGACGAGCAAATCAGCGATTTGCAGAACATGCACTCGATGCAGGCATCAACCACTGGATTGAATTTCACCGCACGCAAGTCCTCTCCACCGAACGTCACTTTTACTCAAGAGTTGTACGTGAAGCGATTGAGATTAAAAAGCATAAAACTTTCAATCGGGAAGATGGTTTTTAATTATCTACAGCGTGGAATCCAGTGTTAAAAAACATACCACCTCGCTTTTCTGCGCAATCGGTTAAAACACCAGAATAGGGGACTCATCGGATTGCTTACAGAATAGGGACACTGTTTAGTGTGGTATGTGACGGTACATGGCGACACAAAAATAATATCGAAAATGTGCGGGTAGATGAAGAGCCTTCTACTTCACAGTGTATTGTTACAATATAAGAATAGCAGAATTGAGGACCAGTTCTTTACATGTAAATATATTAGGGGTTAAGGTATGCAATGCCGATTTGTACTGAAAAATTAAAGTCGTTTTTTATAAATGTAACAATTTAAAAACAAACTTACCCTCATTATCTTTACATTTATATCTTTTATTATTATTATTTATATCTTCATTTATACCATACGCCGTAGACTAGACGTAGACACTGGCTTCAAGTTAGTCTGTATGTATATTTATATATAAATTTAAGGGACTTTTCACTGACGTCTGTCACTGTCATTTACCAACAATAGGCACAAAATTTTAATCTCACACAATTAATAATTACTTACTCATTACACGTTCGAAAAGCTTTAATGAAAATAATTAAAATGGTGTCATAACCAGAAGTAATTAATGTTATAATATAGACTACCAACCTATTATACGAGTATGTAGTACAACATTAGATGAGTGTTTTTGTTCAGAGCGTGGTTTTACCGATATTAATACATGTTACAACAACAATGATTAAATTGCTAATTTTCTCGAAATCATTCAAATTGTGATCACAGCTACAAAATATGAAATGAATTTATCATGTTACATCCACTTACAGGATATATAAATAAGACTTATTACAAGGAGACTCGGATCTCAACTAGGAGGCCTTACTAGGCTATTGAACTATTTAAAGCTTATAAATATCATAGTAATACTCGTACTGTAGATAGATTATGATTCAAAACTTATTAGAAATATGAACTGGAAAGTTTTCTGATCTCCTTATAAATATTGTGAATCATAAGTAAGTAAATGACGTATATCTATAACATTTTAAGCATATATTTTCTTATTATTCTCATCACCACGTTCCTGCACTTTTCCTTATTTCATTTAGTGTCGACGTAATGTAGTTTTTTTTTTTTTGCCATTCTATTTATAATTTTTTATTGCACTGTAGCCATAATATCTTTCACGCGGTCCATTCATCAACTTACTAAAATAAAAAACTATTACGGCTAGAAATATTTCCTTTACTTAATTGTAAAAACACTATGGACACAATAGTTATTTATTATTACTTTTCGTCTTTTTCTCACTTCAGCATTTTTATTGTTACAGTTATAATATTACTTACTTTGACATAATTTATTTATTGATTTATTTATTAAAATAATTGCACCCTCAAAAGGCATATAAACAAACAAACACACGTTTCCATTTCAAACTGTGTAGATAGACGTAAACCGTCAATTTGCAATGTGTTACCGACGCGTGCACAGTCTACGCACATCAAATGCCACCGTGTAACGGCGTCGGCGCACCTGCAAAGTCGCACCCGATTATAGCCGATAATACCCGATTATACACATAATATTACGGTGTTTAAATATTTTTGATTAGGGCTTTCGCTTTTGAAAACTGTTTTATATGCTCGTAACCCTATTATTAACATACATTATTATTATGTTTCTAGTTTTATTTTGTTTATTCCTATATTATAGCAATATTATTAATGTGTAATATTTAGACTGTATTTAGTGCGACTAATAGAGATCTGTTTATAAACAGTATGTTTAATTTTTTAAACAAATGTAGATTTAGTACAGCGAAAGCAATAACTACTGGATCCTGTTTTAAGGTAAGGGGGGGGGGGGTCTAGCCCAATGTCATATCCAATCTTACTTTGGGGAGGGAGGGATGATTTCAAAAAATCGCTGAAAACCCCTCACGTAATCACCATCGCTGTATATTACTGATTCACATTAGTTGAATAATATACCTGTATAGTAAGATGAATGTTTTAGCGCGCTTTAAGAATCAAGTAACACGTTATTACTTTAAGCAATCGCCATTGTTCTTGTACTTTCTTCCGTTCTTGAGAAACAGAGGCTCTGCTGGTTCTATATGTATATGTTTGTCGATAGCTATTTACTTTTCTAGCTGTTGTTATAAAAATATTGTTATTTTTTTGACCATAGTAGATTGTAAATATATAGTTTTTACATACAAATATAAATGGAACTTTACTGCCCACTTTACTGCAAAAGCCGTAACTAACTATTACGAATTATACAGGATTTTATTTATGTAAATCGAAACTATTTTATTTTAGAAATTTAAATTGTTACTTAAAGTACATAACGTTGTGCATAAAACTGGAATACCTATTGAACGGTGAAAACAAGGTAAGTGAGTGAAATTCCGCAATGACGTTTGCTATGCAGTTAAGCTTGTCCAATAGGAATGCGATTTACAATATAACTGATTTCAAATTACTATGTAATAATATAAATCTAAAATAAGATAATTATTAGACCTTAAT